TCTCACGGAGTCTCCCAGAGTTCTGTGCTTGATCTGCGACTTTTTCTTTTGTTCATAAACGACCTACCGAATGTTCTGGGACCACAAACATTTTTGTTTGCAGAACATGTCAAAATCTGGAAGACAGTGACAGACAATGGGGGTTCGCTGGAACTCCAAGAAACACTGAATGCAGCTCACAAATGGTCCATTGAGAACGACATTCAATTTGACGTCNGACGTCCCCAAATGCAAGGTGATTCAGCTACGCCACCATGGGCGGTTTCCTTACATCCGGCCGCATATTTAGTATGCCATTCAAACTTGGAATCTATGGATACAACGTGATCGTACGATGTTGGAGCGTCCACAAAGGCTCGCCACGAAGATGGTTAAAAGACTCATACATGGGGAGACTTCAGTCGTTGGGCCTATATTCTGCTCAGTATCGGATTCGTGGAGACTTAATTTTAGTGTACCAAATATTACACAACCAAAACCACCCTTGTCACCGACTTTTGATGTTGTCATCAAACGTTCATCTACGGGGATATCAATTCGAGTTACTACTCCAAAGAATCTCGACTGGACTGTCGACGTCATTACTTCGCTGTCAGTGTGCACTGCCTGGAATTCCTTACCATCTCATATCGCTTGTGCCAAGATGATCGATTCTTTCAAGGTAAAACTTGACGAATCATTAACATACATTGTATTCCAACATCCATGAGCACACATAACACAACCGAATACATCATATGGAATTTTGTTCATCATTATTACAATTCAACTCGTGTCAGCACCCTATAGGACAAGGAAAGCATCTGCTTGTAATTAATGGCCGTAATGAAACTTTGACTATGACTTTGAATGTGGAATATATGAAATATAGGCATTTGAGAATCACCTGCATGAAGCGTAATGCCTACTAACGTCTTGAAATAACCTGGCCGTATTAAGGACCGGAGCTCATCCAGCTCTGCCTTAGTCACCGATTTCAACATTCTCTGTTCAACTGTTCCTCGTTACCGTGGGACCTACTTACTCTGCTCCTTGTTATTTTAGATGTTTACTGGGGTGTTCTGTTTAGGTTGTGAACACGCTTGTCTGTCTCCTCCCATTGAACTGAGTGGTGTGTAACCATTGTGTCTTCACGTGTCTGAAATTCGATTGAGTTTCCCTTTCCAATTGGAGACTATATCTGAGTTGGTACTGTTGGACACGGCTGAAAACTGTGGTCCCTTGGGGAGTGGAGTCTCACACATCTCCCTGTCTCACGTTGGTCGTGTCTAACTTGAGGTTCACTGGGTTAACCAAAACACAAACGTCAAATCCCCATCCCCGAGAATCACTCTTGTTTCCCGGAACTATTGTCTCCGTGTACCAAAAGAATCTTCGTGAATTAAATACAAGAATTGAATATTCTACACTACCATTGACTTATTTTGAATTCATATAAAGAGAATGTATTTAATGCAGGATTTTTTTGATCATCTTTCGTTCATATTATTATAATGTAATAAAAAAGGGAAGTGATAAGTTATGAACCTGGTGTAGAACATAGTCTGACACACAAAACAAGGTCACGTCTACGTATTCACAAGGCCAAAGCAATAGGACCTATGACAAACAAAACCACTTCGTCCACAAACCAGTATACATTATGTACACCTTCCTTACTTCATCTTGTGGACAACAACGACAAAACTCATGCCATGGTAATAGCGTGGAACATCCCATAAAACGATTTGAAAAAATAAATGATTTTCCAAACAATTGTATTGTTTCAAACGGGGTGAGCATCCGGATTGTTCGGGGTAGCAGTTCATTCTAACTGGTAGAGGAATCTTTTCCCCTGGACCGACAGTCGATATGTCCGTTCCAAAACCGGATTCTTTGCAATTGACTAAACATTGTCATACGTAAATTCCGGAAGGTCAGAATCGTCAGACACGGATTGAGAGCAGAGACCAACGAGGAAAGGAACAGATAGTACAGACGAACGGGCGAATAAATCTCGAAATTCACCACAGTGGTTTCACCCAACACGGTTAATGTGGTGGCTATTCCCTCAAGGACAGTCATTTCCAGGAGTAAAACTCCGGTATGGCAGAATACCGTTTTCTGCACAATAAGCAACTCGTTTATCTGAGCCGCACGTTTTCTCTCCTCCCCTAATGACACGTCTTCCGACAGTGTCACGGGCGATTTGGTCACAATTTTCCAAAACCCCAATCCACCGAGTTTTCGCAAGGCCAACAGAGTCAGTGTGATAGTGGTACACAGGGGTAAAGCGTACCGAAAGACAATCTCAATCACATATAATGAAGGCATGTAGGTCAGAACTGACCGATGCTGGCAGTCATCATCCACAAACTGTACCGCACCCATTTGAGCGGCTGAAACGAGAATCGAATAGACGGGAACACTGACAGAACATAATATCACGTAGAGTTTGGTGTTTGCTCGATAGCTATGTGCATAAACGATTGCCCAAAATCTATCCGCGGATTGACACACGTTATTGCACACAATCATTGTGCGAAACACACGAACCAGATATCCACTTTGTAGCAGATAGCATATGAAAGTATTTGATCCCGGGTCGTCCGGAAAATGATCCTCAAAGAAACGGTTGCTGATAAAAGCGGTCATCATGATACAGTACAGAGCGTCCAGAACTGTTTGGTTGTACAACAGAAGTTTGGACAGGAGTGAATTGATTCGAGTTTGTGTGATGACATATCCCGTGTAAATGTTAAATATTGCACCGACACTCAAAAGCACACTCATGACAATGATTCCAGGCAAACTGATGTGACCATACTGATGATCCACGTTCACAATGTCCGTTCCGTTTGACAAAACGTCCATGTTGGGATCAGACAACTACCGGCTGCCGTTATCTGAAGGGAATTTCAAGCATACAGGCAGGTAACGGATTTAAATGGACCAGTAAACACCATTTGAATATGCGCCGTGGATGGAGATTGCATGCCTGATTGGCATACTACTATGCATATCTAACTCACCTACGCCCTGCGCTAGTTGAATAAAAACCGGAATAGAGCAGAACTGTATCTCTCCACTTCCTATCGTGGTTGTGATAAGATCTTCATAAACTTTTTGTCCCCATAATCTGAATTGACATTTGAGATAATCGCCTAAAACAAACATGAGTGTGTGTGTGTTTGCGTGCTTACGTCTGGTTTGTAACGTATGCTGATTGAGGCAATTCAGTCAGACTTGGCCGCAAAAAAAATGTTCGTTGATTGTTTCATGTTCTTGTTGTGAAACGCCATTGGAAGCATACAGTACCTTCGTACCTGTTACATTCCCAACAGCCAGCAAACTCCGCTCGTATCTGATGTAACTCGACCACTACGACCCAAATTTGATCAGTCCCATTTCGAACAAGCTATAATGAAAGCACTGTCTGCTGTTTAAGTTGGGTTAATGGTGTGACAGGTAAATGACCAAAAAATTACCTAGATACTCATCAGGGCACTCATCAACGTGACGTAATTACGTGGTAAGCTATGCTTTTTCATGCAACTATCCTACCGGTTAGCCAGCTATGCACAGTCAGCGAGTCACTGACCAGCTATCCGTATTAGATGAAGGGTAAAACTATTACCGCTGGCTCGCTAGCACTGAATAATTTGCTACACTGGCTTTCATCCGTCCGGTCAGTGCTATACTCCACTGATGTGGAATGTTCCCGTCGGATCCAGACACCTGGGAGAATAAGTATAAGCATTGAAAATAGTTGGTTTGGTTGGATTGGAACTGTGCACTGAACAGTTTCCATATCTTCCAAGTACTAGAGCGAATTCTTCTCTCTAAGACAACCAACACCGATGATCTGTTAATAGTAGTTTTTGATATTCTAGATAAATTTTCCTTGAACGGATTTCCAATCATCAGATCCGAAGTTGTTTATTGTTCTCAAAGAATATTTGGATCAATGCAAACCACCGCTAACCGCCACTTCATAAGCTTGGAACTATAAACATGGGACAAGTTGGTTCACTTTGATGCAGAACGCAGCCGTTGACAGTGGTTCTGTTTTGATCAATTATAACACTTGGATTGTCAATAATGATTGAGTACTGTTCCCCTAAATACATGTAATTTCAAAATGGCAAGAAGTTATTTATGAGTAAAGAGTACATTCTTAATAAACAAACAACATTAATTCCTTGCTGGCCCGCACTATTCAGAAAATTTATAAAATAATGAGTAAATAACAGGAACTGGGACATAATATATTAGTATATACCTTTAAGTAGTGTAAATCAACCTTATAAGATTTAAAACAAAATAAACAAAAAACATCGGAAAACTCAACTTTTTATTACCTTATCTTTCCATAATGTGCATTATCCCGATGTCTATTAAAGACGGGATTATAAAATGTTTTTGAGTAGACCAGAACATTGATGGCCTGTTTGATATTTTAACCGTTTCAGTTGCATGCACCCATTTATCAGGAAACCACTAAGTGAGATATTTCTGGCGGAATTATCGAATTTAAATTTCAAATATTATGTCATTTCGTTTTACGGGGACATACAATTGGTTTTGAAACCAAATAGAAAGGGCTTTCTTGCCAAAGCAAGAAAAAATGGAAGTCATATATGTACACGTTTCACAAATCATATAACTTCTTTCAACTTTTGAATCAAGTCAATGGTTAAGGATATCGATCGATAAACTTAGGATACTGCCGGAGCAAACCGATTGAAAACCGTTCTGACCAGATTTGAAAATACATTAGGTTGCACTCTTTGTGTAATACCAATACAAGTTCAATCATGGACATTGTGTAGTAAGATGCTGTGACTTCACATAAGTTGACTGTTCTATTTGATACAGACTTAAAAGGTTTTGTAAATGATTGACTAAAACCTAGGTGTTTACCATTGTATCAAAAATGTTTATTGCGTTACTAGAACCAGGAAAGTTACATAAAATCATGAAGTAGCCCTAAAATGTTTGTGAGCACTCTGCAGTCGTCGATGTTCCCGAGTTGAACAACCCGTTGTTTAGTGGAAGAAATCTGTGAGAAATACAAGCTTTTATTTTTAGCAAAAAGAATTGATTTCAGTTTGCATTCGCTTACCTCTCTCTATCTGCACAAACACAGTGATTTTGGTTCTTAGCTATTTCATTTGCACTCCGACCGTTTGCTAAGATCAAACAGTTAAACTTGATATAAAATCAGATGTGCTTTTCCTTCGAATATCCATTGATAGGTATTATCATTCTTTACTACGTTTTGATTGCTTCCCTACGAGTTGATCTGGTATTTATAACTGGGATTTGATTGAATTATTTTGGATATTTTCACTTTACCATCATCATCATCATCTGCAAAAAGTCGCTCATCAAGAGATACGTGATAAGTAAAACAGTCGATCTTTTCGCGTTTATTCCCAGATAGAAGGAATATAAGCTCCTCGGATGCACGTCCGAATCCATCTTGTATGGAAACGGTGATCGGTATTTCAAGGTAAAGAAACATTCAAGCTTCTTTCGGTATGTTGCCATGATCATGTTCATTCGTTTTTTATATCAGATTGCTCATCATCTATAAAGTAAACGGCTTATTTTAGAAAACATTTGCGAAAGGAACACTCGAAAGATAATGCGACGGGGAATCCATAACCGGAGCCCTAGGCTAGCCAAAGCCTAACCCGCATGGTAGCTGGTGTTCAGTTCATCGGATCATACGCCCTTTGGATGGAGGTCAAACGTCCAAGGTGCCTAATACACCTCCATGCCCAACTGAGCCGGTGACCATTGCCACAACCGAAAGGATGTGTGAAGTTCTTATGCCCTCTCTTGGTTGTTTTGAAATCAGAGTTTTGACCAACTCCCCCAAGTGAACTACCAGTGGTCCATCAACCCGGTTATAGCCCCGTATATGGGCTTTTGGTTCTCTCACTTTGGCATATCAAATGAATCTTTACGTTAGTAGATCGACCTTGCGAAATGACATGTTAAACGATACCTGATCCAATTACTGAAATCAGTGCGCGTCCTAGTCAGGTATTAGCCTCAAGTGTGCGTCACACTCAGTGAAGTGTCATTATTGGTTGAAAGCGACATTTTATTGTTGGTTAGTGGATAGTTTTTCACTATATCGAAAAACGGGAACAAATAAAGAGAAGTTTCACAAACCGAGACGAGGTAATCCTATATATAGGACACGTCATTATGCATACCGTTGGTTTGAGTTTTCTATATAAACAGTGGGACTGTTGAGAAATGCAGTTTTTCATAAATGTGAATTTGTAAGAGATCGCTTCGAAAATTACAGAGAGTCAGTGACACAATTTCCCAGGACCTAGCCTTCATGCGGAACCACACGTTGAAGTCTGTATGCATTTCACCCAAAAGCGTGTTTCCTATGCTTATGATAGTTCCGAACTAAGACATAGTTCAATTCATTTCCGAATACGACTTCATCTTCACTCATCCTGAGAACCTTCACCTAGATATTTTATCTAGGTGTATGCGGTTCGTTACAACGGGATTCATGATTTAGCATCCGGTGAAAGAAGAACACATTGCGATTAGCTCGACATAACCGGGGTATCCACACCAAGTGTTTGCACAAATGTGGTCGACAAATTCTACGCTTTGAACATAGGGCATTTTAAATTACTTTTATGGATTTATCCAGTGAACTAAGAAATAAATCCAAATCAATTCTTCCGTCGCGGACTTCACTGATATAATGTTTTTTTACATTTAAAAAATGGAATCTGGTACACGGTTACGTGCTCTGCATTGTTCAAAATGCATTTACTACTCCTAATTTCGTCGGTTTTGTAAAAGCGGGCACTTCATTCGCGGTGCGGAGAAGTTATTACTTTACAGACGACACCATTATGTGGACGAAACGGGGATCAATTCAACAAATATCTATTATTAATCTCCTGGAATGAAACATTACTAGATGCCGCATGGAGAGGGCTTATTTTGCATAAGTTTTATCCCTGAAGGTCGCTGCATCTCTACATCAAATGAGCTGGATGTAGAAAGACAATAATCTCTCACCACAAGTTGCACTTAGGTAATCTAACTTGTTCTTAACCTGCTTGTAGTAATCTAAAGTCATTTAGAATTGTTGCAGAACTTGTTGGCACTGTGTATCTGATGTCATAAAACAATTAAATGTACAAAGGAGTCCCATATTTGCGTTGTACATCATTTTGAACAACCGGTTCGAGTCAAGGGTTCAGTGTTGAACGGGTTCCGTGAGAAATCTTGAATCCGAATAGAATGAAAGCGCGTCGTTGCTTATATTGTCAGTACAAAGTGCGTTTTGTTGTCACATTTGGACAAAGGCAAACTGAGCAATAATCTGCGCTCTTTCTCCGCGTTTACTACAAATGAACATTACTTCGACATTTAAAAACGCAACTGTTTTTCCAAAAACATGTTGCATAGCTAGGAACTGTTAGAGGTTCCTATTTCATTCCTTTTCTGAGTCGGAATAATCATTAGCACCAGGTTTGTAAGTGCTGCACACCAGTCAAACGACATACTGATTCTAACTGAGGTATTTTCACTTGTCTTGATACCAATTTTGAAACGCTCTAACTAATTTTAACTCATTTAATTTATCTATCATGAGATGGTTCAGTTTTCGGTGACCGGGCTGACCACTAGTGTAGGCAACACAGCTTGAACCGTTATGGATGACCCCACATTATGGATTGGTGGGTTTTGAAATGGAGTTTTAGAGAGTAGCGGATACTGTTGGTATTAGTGTGATCTCCGAGTTCGAGGTGTTCGTTGTTCACAGACGCTTTGTAGGCCCCTATCATCCGTGCAACGTCGGAGAGGCAACAGTCCTCAGT